TAACGTAGCTAGTCCCTAGGTAATTGCCGCTGATCTGGCCACACTGGTCAATCTTTGTTAATCCTAAGTTCAATCTGTCCATCAGACGTTATTTTGGCGACAAGAATGAACTAAACATACGTAGGAATAAATCCTACATTTAATCCAAAGCTCAATCAAAGGCGAGCCAGAAAATAACATTGTTGGGAAATTTGATTCATGTGTGATCAAGCGAATCTGAGGTACGCTGGATGGCGTAAGCCGAAAGCTTTGAGCTATTTGCTGGAACTTCTCCTTGACCTTGCAAAAGGATCAGACAAGAATAAGTACGGCAAGCTAATCACCATAGACATAGTAAAGATTAGGTAAGGACATATTTTTTATGGCCTAAATAGTGTCTAGCCTCAAGGCACTGGAAAACAACAACGCGAACAGCAGCGATGCATGGCATAACTTCCTTCTTTTATTCTATTTTAATTTGACCTATTTCTTCTCAGAGGTTTGACAAGTTGAATCGCAGAATTTTGAAGTTAGTTACGCAGTCTAATGTTGCTTGTTTTTCTTCTCGTTCATATAGTGATTAATTAATGCGCATATTCAACGCTTTTGTCCTCTTTAAATGAATACTTTCGTCAAAATACGTGTACTTCACACTTTGGTGCGGTTGAGTTTGAGACAGAATTTCATACATTTCGAAAGAGGAATCACTTGAACATTACAAACGTCTTAAAAGAGTGTGTCATTCTGTACTATTTACGAAAGTATAGTGAAGTTGCACAGAATAGAGGCTGAGAAAATCACCACGCAAACGAATATATTTATATTCCTTCAAACGGCTTTTGAATATTTAGCCTTAAGGCTTTTGAATTACTTGAATACTTAGCGATACGGTTGCTGAATATTTAGCGTAACATCACCACACAAATGAATATATTTATATGCCTTCACGCGGCTGTTCAATCTGCCTTCGTATGCCTGTTGAATATGCCTTATTCGTATGGCTGTTGAATACTTATCACCACACAAATAAATATATTTATATGCCTTCACGCGGCTGTTCAATCTACCTTCGTATGGCTGTTGAATATGCCTTTGTATTGCTGTTGATTACTTAGCGATATGGCTGTTAAAAACTGCTTCCCAGGCTGCAATAGAAAGTCTGACCGCCCCCCTCATTTCACAAACATACTTGAATTCTTAATGAGCTCCTTTGAAATGGACAGACATCTCCCAAAGCGGAAAGCAGATCGAAATTTATGTCGACAATACATAATTCGGCCGGGGACTGGGCACGAGAAAGTAAGAACGTCATGTAACGTCAAGGATAGTGTGCTGCCTCGCTGAGGCTCGGCAGCAATTAATTACGATTAGGCATAAGGTTGAAGACGTTTTGCAACCGGACTAAATACACAGGTGAAATGAGTAATTCAGAGATACGATAAATTGTAAAGTAAACATAAAGGTCGTTCATTTGCCTACGGGCATGAATGGAAAATTAAAACTCCGAATAGTTGGCCGACAAAAAACCGAACTTCTTATAAAACTGATTAAAGTATTTTATTTCATCCGAATATGCTTGCCTTATCCGAAGATTGCTAAGTATTGAAACAAGCTGGGGGAGGACGAGGACTGCCCAATCACTGTACGACGGTATGAAATTTTACAGAAAAAAGCTTCGTAGGCAGAACTTCCATGTTTTTATTACATAATTGCATGAAGTATTTGAAACATTATGATATCGCGGGCGCGCAAAAACACTTAGTGCTTGTTGCGTTGTATTATTGGTAGAGTTATTACATGAGTTATAAATTCGTTATTACATGAGTTATAAATTCGTTATTACATGAGTTATAAATTCGTTATTACATGAATTATAAATTCGTTATTACATGAGTTATAAATTCGTTATTACATGAGTTATAAATTCGTTATTACATGAGTTATAAATTCGTTATTACATGAGTTATAAATTCGTTATTACATGAGTTATAAATTCGTTATTACATGAGTTATAAATTCGTTATTACATGAGTTATAAATTCGTTATTACATGAGTTATAATTCGTTATTACATGAGTTATAAATTCGTTATTACATGAGTTATAAATTCGTTATTACATGAGTTATAAATTCGTTATTACATGAGTTATAAATTCGTTATTACAGGCGATTCCTTTCATGCTGTAACAAAATGAAAGTATAATTATATAAAGTGACCTAGCTAGTTAATTATATAGAGTCATTGGTTTTCAGTGAATTATTTTACTGCTCGACAGCAGACGTTTGACTCAAACATCAAAGAACTACAATTAGGCTATGTGCCCATGAGCGTTGTTTTCGAGCGTTTCAAAATCCTTTGTCTATTTTACAGTTTAGATAACCTGTGACCTGACCACACGATCTATGGAAAATATGCTAAATATGATTTCTTCCGAACAACAGGCCCTGCTCCATAATTACCGAGTACTGATTATTTACATAAATTATGTATATCACTAATTTGAAGCACCACATTCCTCATAACATCCAACATCTAAAAGGCCTAGGTTTTCTAAAGCTGTATTAAGTTTTAAACAAATGGAGAATGGTCCATTTTCACTAAATATGACAAAGTCACCATCGGAATCGCTTTCATCCACCTCGCTCGCATGCCCTTTAAGAGTGCTTGGCTCATTGCAATCATCGCTTTCTTCATCAGAGCTCATTTCTTCTACATTTAGTTGATCTACCTCGCAAACACCATAAGCGAACGCTTGCTTCTTGTTTTCTCCATCCACAAAACATACAAGCGCCCCCGAATCACCATCCTTCAGAAATGTGCCAGAATCTCCACGGACAACAATTGCATCCTCGAACAAATTACTGTTTTGGTATCTGTAGCAAAAATTGCATTGATAGATACAGCCTTTGTTCTCACTCTGTTCCGAGCCAACTTTCTCCACTCTGACTGTGTCATACATTGCTCTCCTGTTAAGCTCTCGCCAAATTCTCTTCCAATTTGGATTTCCTATATCCACCATTTGGCAGTCAACCTCAACACCTTTACCTACTTCTATAGACATAATATCAGAGTCCCTTTGAAATTTACATTCGGACATCTTTCCAAGCTTGATATAGTCCTCAGGTTCAACAGCGTTTTTATTTTCATCCGAAGAATGAACTACTTTTTTCTCCTTATAAAAGAACTTAAGTTGTTTCTTGGCATATTTCTTATTCGTCTTAAAATTGCGGTGAAGTTCTAGAAACTTCTCCAAATTAAAGGTTTCGTTAAGACTATGTTGATCTGTAAGAAAACAGACATGAAAACAGGTAAGCGCGTAATGTTTGCCACCACTCTTGGCACAAAACATAGTTAAGGTTCCTGAGACTTTTCTTGTTTCTGATTCTTGGATTGCGGTTTCAATTTCGTCTTCATCTTTACGTTCTACTCGTAGTCGTAGTGGATTTTTTGTTTTCAATTTATCGACAGCAACAATACTACCACCAGTTGTTGGTTTTGATACATATTTAAACTTCGGTTTTTCTTCAGGTTCGCGATAAAGTTTAACGTATTTCTTCAGTTCACATTCAAACTCATTGTTTATTTCGTTCAAAACTTCGGACTTCTTTTTTCCTCTTTTCACTGTTAAATAAAGACGAGGATGCGGAAATCCCTTTTTAGGGCCAATTACACCATACGCTACTTGTAGCCACGAAAATCTGTCGAATTAAATAAACAAGTAAATATGTGCATGAGCGCATATATACATACAGTGCAATGAATGATTCAGTTGTGGAAGGAAAGAAACATCTTTCAATACTAGCACATGCATATTCTCGGATTAAATTACTAGCACATATTCTCGGAATAAATTACGAGCACATAATCTCGGATTAAATGAAATCGCAACCATACACCTCACTAGATACTGCACATAGGAGTATAATTTTTTGAAAAATATGTAACAATTAAGGATTGACAAAAGAGTCACCCATTGACAAAAAAACAACGTGCATAAAAATATCTGTTTTAAAGAATTATAATATACATTATATACCTTTGAAGCTTTTCACTAACGTCTTTTTTAATCTTGTATTCAGAATCAAGGAAAGTTTCTTCGAAGAATTTTTTCTCCTTCTCACGATTTTCAATTTCGTCTTTTCGCTTTTCAGCTTCTAGAAAAACCGATAGTTGCAATTTTACTTTCTATTTTTTTTTAAAAGGTAACACAAACATCATTAATACTCACGAATAAAAAAAATACTAATTTTGTTATATAAAGTGCCGGTATAGCAAGCAACGCTTACGCACTTTATATATAGGAGCAAGTATATCCTTTTTCTTCATTATATGTACACACATATTCGATGCTTGAAGCTTTACAATATTGCATGATATAGCATTTTACGCACTTAAGATAAATTAGCCATTTCCCAATCGAGCGGGGTACTGGGTCTTGTCGTTAACCGCAAACGGCATCTATCATCCTCGTCCCGAGGGCCTAGCTCCGTTGCTCTAAACACATAGGCCCTGGGGATGAGGATGAGCATCTATTAGCTGTTGTTTGGAGGGACAGGGAATATAAATCTGACTCATTTGTCCCTCCAAGCAGTCCATAGATGTTTTGCAGTTCGCGACAAGACCAAGTACCCTGCTCGATTGGGAAATGGCTAATGGGAAATGGCTATACTTTAAATCTCAGGGACTAAAAAGGGTGCACTAAAAAAAGCGGGTACAAAAGACACCGTACTTAATTACTATACGCCACCTAGTTCCAGCTGTGTATCTTTCACTTACTCTGTTTCTAACATCTGAAGATGGAGGTGATCTCAGAAGCTTTGTAAAAATAATAAAATTGACTGCTCACAGTCAATTTTAAAATTTGTACCCGAATATTGAAAAGTAAAAATATAATTCCTGAGTAAAGTCTGACGGATTTACTTAACTAAACTGGTACACTCTTATTGCAATTCCCAAATAATTTGACGCAATATTTTCTTTCAGTTATCACATGGAAATTAAGGTAAAGTGATATGAAGGGTGATCACCGCCAAAATTAGCTTACACAATTTGCAACCACTTACATGCCATTCGGCATTGCTCACGTGGTACTCGGATTGTCTTGAATGACATTCGGCACTGCGTAGCTAACATTCGGATTGGCTTAAATGACATTCGGCACCACTTACGTGATATTCGAATTGGCTTTAATGGCATTAGTATTTGCCCTAATGGCATTCGGCACTGCTTACGTGACATTCGGCGGGGACGGCATGCGCCACACGAGCACGCAATAAACATGGGCAGCGGATTACTTCAACACGATGCTTACGAACACACGGTACTAATGAACAGCGGCTATTCACTGACGCTCACGAAACTTAATTTAAGTAAGAATGAAGAGAATAAAGTTAATTTAAGTAAGTACGATCAGTGAACTGGTACGGATATAGAGCACGTGTGCATAGAAATCGAAAGAGCGCGTTTTTACAGTAATATGTAAATATGGCGGATGAAACTAGGAAAAGGATCGAGGCAGCGAGATTAATGCGAGAAGCTGCAAAACTTCTTGAAGAATCAAATAAAGATTCGGCACAGCAAACCGAAAGAACCACGTCGGAGGAATTAAGCAAACTTTTTGCTCCATACCGAAGAGAAGCAACAAGTAATCGACAAACAGTTCAGGAAGCGAAACCACCAAAACCCAAGAGACAACGATGTAGTTGGGTTCCAATGTTTAACCCGTTGCCAACATGGACTCATCGATTTTGCCTTCTATCTGATAAAAATGCAAACATTGCTCCAAACATAACCGAAAAAGAAAAGTTAAAGGCAATGGGGCTTGGTGAGCTGAAAATAACCTTTGATAACAAAAAAGGCGACCATGCGTTTCTCACTCGAATCCTCGAAGAGAAATTTCCGTTGCTAAAAGAGGCTGGGGGATATTTAATTTGCCGGACAGCATCAGGAAGCCAACGCTTACAAGTTATCCCCCCAGGGAAAAACGGCTATTCAATACCCTATTTACGGGATGAATCACCGTTGAGACAGGCAGTAGCCTATGTTCGCCCTCTGCAAAAATCTATTGACACAATAAATACATGCGAAGTTGAGGTAAGTTAATTTTTCATCAGCAACAATTTTTTCAATAATTCAGTGTACTCAGTCAATGTTTTATACTTTTGATAAATTTGATATACGTTATGCCTCACTCCCCCCTCACACAAGGGCTGAGCCCTTAGAAGGTACTTGTATTGGAGATAGGGCTTCAAGCAGTGGCGTAACTAGAACGATAATTGGGGGGGGGGGTGAATATTCAAATAACCAGTTCTGCCCTACAGATTTCTTTTGTAATTGCAATACCTTACAATAGAAATTCGTGGGGTAGAACTGAATATATGAATATTCACCCCCCCCCCAATTATCCTTCTAGTTACGCCACTGCCTTCATGGTGGGGTTATATTCTATGAAATAAATACACTCAGATGCATGTTTAACAAATATGTAAAATAGCTAGGGTGTTTTATAAAAATTATAGTTTAAATAATACACAATATATGTTGAAGAATTTTTAAAGTTAAGTACCTGAACATTATTTTGTAGTTGCAAATAATATATAAAAAGTATTCATTCAATATACAGTAGAAGTAATTATTCAGACTATTTGCATATATAATGTCAATAAAACTCATTAGACCCTTAGGGCATGGATAGAATACTACATTGCTCACCAGTTCAGGGTTTAGTTTACATCTTTACCTGGCTATTTGTCCAGCACTCCTTCTTTTGAATAATCTGGCCTTATCTCGATCTCACTGGCAGGAAGGCATTTGTTGCAGTGGATGTCATATCTATTCAGACTCTAGTCAGTTTAAATTAATTACCCTGTCAAAGTGTATTATTGACTCACTTTGATCATGTTGTTCTCAGATTTATGTCTATTTTATCCTATGTATATATTATGTACAACAAATACCTTGCCATAGTGATGGATATAAGGTCTATATCATATCATATATCATATGTTATCATATACATGAATTGCTTCCATATAAAATGCAATTTTATATGGAAAGTAGTATAAAGAAGAAATTTTAAGGAAGCCAAGTTAACCAACAATTTTAATTGTCATTTTTCTTTTAAGGCAAATGAAGCAATTAGTGGTGCCAATGATACAGATGGACCAACTGTACCATGCCTTAAATGTAATATGCAAATAAAAATTGATGAAGAGTCTATGTTAACTCATCAACGTTTTCATATTGAGGAGGAAGAGCAAGAAACTCAAAAGTATGACATTTATTTTCAGTTTTCTGTTTTATCTCTTCTGTTAATTTGCTGGAATTAAGCTTAATTGACCTACCACTAATGATGATTGTCTAATCTCAATTTTCTTTGTTTAGAAGACATTTAGTTGTCACAGCTACCATTATTCAAACCTAACATATACCTTTTTGGTAGCACCCTGCATTTTTTTCATCATCTTAAATTCCTAAAATCCTCATCATTCTATAAAATGCTGCTTATTACTTTTTCTAGTTTATCTGATAACAAAATTGATGGAGATGAAGAAAAAATCATTGATCACACTGGTGATGACACTTTAACCCGTAAGAACATCACTGATTTCATAGAACTTTTGACTAAAATGTTCCTGATTTCATTCGAAAGTTCACAAGTTCGTTGCGATCAGGGTCAAAATCTCACTATAAAATTAAAGATCTATTTCAAAAGCAAATGTTCTCATTGGTCCAAGGTTTAAAAGGAGACAGTGAAATGCATAGTTATAAAACAGATTGTTAATTTTATTATGAACTTGTTCATGAACTTGCGAACTTCTGAACGAAGTTTGTTTATATAATTTTTGTCAAAAGTTTTTAAATAATCTGTAATGCATACAAAATACTTATTTAAGAGGTATCATCTCACCAAAATAATATAACCATACATATTTAGCAATATAAAGCAGCGTGGCAGCATCTTCAAACAACTTAGCATCAAATGTGGTATAACAACTGCCTAAAATAGACAAAACACTTCTCGTCTTTTCGACCCGAGGGCCTTCATCATGAGAGAGTACATAGTGATTGACTCCAAATTTAAATTTGTACAAACTATAATTTTTATTTTCATAGAAGAGATAAATAGAATGCAAGAAATGTTTCCAAATGCACAGAGGCAAACTTTGTTGGAAACACTGAGGGCAAATGACTATTCGACAGAAGATGCAGTATCTGACCTCTTAGGTTTAACTGATGGTAAGTGAACATATGGCAAACATTAAAAGTAAAAAAGTATTGTTTATAGCATTTGGTTGGTATACTGTTGACAGTGCGAGTGATTTATAAAAATACATTGAAAGGCTGCATTATTATAAACATGCCTATGCTTATGTGAGGCTAAATTTGACCCATGATTTGACTTCGATCGAACTCATGTGTCGGCATAGTTTGTGCTTAACCGTGTGTTTATATCGCGTGGAACGACTTCGCTCTAACCGAAAAACCTAGCTTCAAATTTCTGGTTGCAGATAGCCTTCCATCTAATTGATTTAAATTATTCAGCCGTTCACTTGTTTTTGCGCTGCAGTGCTCTTTAATATTTGGAACAACTTTCGTACAAATCCTTCTCCTCGAGTAAAATTGGCGTTCGGCGCCGAAAAGAATGCTATAGTTAGCCTTAATGAACTCATTGCCAAAAGAGTAAAATTTGCTTGCTTTGAATTTTTGTTCTGTAGATACCTGTAAATCATCAACTGCGTCATCAATTGATGGGCAACTTGCAGCCTATGCAAAGAATGTAGACAAGGACAATATCAAGATATTGCACGTAGAAAGAGAATGCCTGTGGGAAAGAGCACTGATTTTTTATAAATGTACAGAACGCAAAGATTTATACCGGCATCTCAGTATAGTATTCGAAGGCTATGAAGATGCAATAGACGGTGGTGGTTTAAGGATCGAATTCTTTGGTGATCTCATTAGATGCATGAGTAATCGCTTGTTTGAAGGAGAAGATGGTCACCTTGTTCCAAGACATAGCTGGGACAATGTTAATCTCTTGCGTATGGGGGGCCTTATGCTGGCACACTCTATACTTCAACAAGGCCCCGGTATGCCATCATTAGCAAATTACATCTACGATTTTCTTGTGTATGGTAACAAAGAAAAGTCGGTTTCAGCTATCAAGCTGGATGACCTTCCGAACACTCCACAGAATTCCGATTTGACAGAATTCTTAAAAAAGGTAAAATCAACTAAAGTAGAATTATTAAAATGCAAAATAGAGAAGTAATCGGTTGTTTGTTCAGCTTAACTGGTCAATACAGGGCACGCATAAAAGACTTTAGAAGTTATTGATCAATGGAGACATTCTGTCGCGTGCACAATTTGTTGTCATTTTCGGTCGAAAAGTGGTAACAATTTTTGCGCGTAAATTCAAAAGTATAGAAAGTTTGCGAACTTTGCAAAACCATATTTTCTGCATTACACAACTGTCGCAACCAAACTTTGCCATTTTCCTAATTTTGGTATGCTCTTTCCGAGAGTATACCTCTCTTTGCCATTGTATAACACGCATATTGTCCATTAGGGAACTTGTTATGCTTACTATGTGTGATGCTTATCCTGAATCCATTATATCTCTTTGTTTGTTGAAGTATACTTTCACCGTTTACGAAATATCTCTACTATCATTTCAGATTGAAGATTGTACAGATGACGAGGAGCTTTCAAATTTACTTGACGAACCTAGATTTTCTTCCATTGTTGATAGATCTGGATGGCCTGTGGGGAGGGTTTTAAGTATAAAGTCTCGAGTAGATTTTATTAGTCAAATCCTGATCGAGGAGCTGTATGACAAGCGACTACCTTCCCTGATAAGCTTCAAAGAAGGCCTTGATCATTTTGGTCTAATAAAATTTATCCAAATGAGTCCCGATACCTGGAAGCCATTCTTTGTTGCAAACGATGGCTCCCAAGAAATATCTCTTACTGCCAAGAAATTTTTGTCTCTTGTTCAGTCAGACCCAAAGAGTGATGAGGAAAAGATTACATATTCTTATTTTGGAGACTTTCTCGAAAAGCATGAGAATACATCAGGTACATGACAGTTATGTTGGTGTTCCTGACAAAGAGTCTAATCAATAAGAGTCTAAGAGGAATTTTCCTTTAATTGAAACACCAACATGGCGGCTGTGACGTCACGTGCGTGTGCTCTATATAGGATTTGGTTTACGAAACCCAAACAGTACTCAATATCATGTAAATAACTGAATATTCGCTTCCTGCTCTACCTAAAACCTTACAGCCCCTTTCATCCGTATACGAGTTGCCAAGTTATGACTAATTTCGGAAGTTAAGTCGCTTAATACATTGAGTTTCTTGAATTAATTACTTTAGTCACTTGAGCCTGTTTTCCACTTCAACCGTATCGTAGCGAAGCCGGTTGAAGTGGAAAACTACAGGTGCCTAGGAAACTACATTGATTGATTGATAACTTATATTTTATTTGCAGAATGCATTCCTGCACTTGGCGGAAATTTTCCTGTTCTTTGTATTCTACTAAAGTACTGCACATCGAATCTTCGAGTACCTCCACTTGGTCTCACAACCAGCATCAAATTGCTGTATGGTAACAAAAACCTCACGATGCCTGATTCCGATACCTGTTTCAATATTTTGAAACTACCTGTGATCTATAATGATTACGGTGCGTTTGAGAAAGTTATGTTAGCCAGCCTACGTCATGCGTCGTGTTCGTTTTCTGCTTCTCGGTGACTTCAGATACTGCTACTGTACAGTAGGCAACAGCTAACTGTTTTACAATTCATGTTGACTAGATAATATTAATTTGTCTCAATGTACGTAACTTTGGTTGTTTGTAACAACTGAATATGCAGGGTTGTCATTGACATTGCTAAATATTTTAGCTTATTAGGTTAATGTTTATATTTTGTTAGAGTGCTTTCAGTTTACATGCATGTAGAACTGTCAAACCGGTCAGATATATTGAATGAAAAACAAACACAAGGGAACGAAAATTTTGGATTAATTCAAAACGAAGTCTATTCTAGCCAGATTTTATGAGACCTATTCCAAAAAGAGCAAGAGGCCTGTTACGAGTTACGCGAGAACGAGGCTAGTCAGGTTTTCTGCTGTCAAAATTTTAAAATCATTTTTATATTTCTAAATTTTGACTGTAAAAACTTTGTTTTTGTGTCGCTTGCAACAGGTCCAGCGAAAAAGTGAGAAAATAAACAAATGGCTTTAAATTCGGCAGAGAAAATCTGACTAGCCTCGTTTTCGCGTAACTCGAAACAGGCTTCTTGCTCTTTTTCGAATAGGTTTATATGGTTTGTCTATGCAATTTTATACTTGGCCTGACCGGTCTAGCAACAGATCTTACCGATTGTTCTCCTTTACCCGAAGGCCTCGTTTCCATGTTAACTTATCTTAGCATGTCAAAGGCAGATAAAGATTATATTTCCATGTTTCCTGGACGGATTTGTCTGTTGCTGATCTTAGGCTTAATAACAAAGTAATTTTCAACCATACTAAGCATGAAACACGAGTATATGTATTTGACACGGAAACGAGGACACGAGGTGAAATGTGAATAAACGGCAAGGTCTATTAAATGGAAATCGCACTTGCAAGAAAATGTTTGGGGTTAAAACGTTGATAATAACATATACAAACGATATGTTCTCACTTTCAATGTTGATGATTTTCTACATATTGTTTACATTCCAAATATATATCACTGCCATAATTGTGACTTTGACGTAGCGGATCTATGGATTCCTTCATGTTTGTAAATTCATGTGCTTGAAGTGGATTTTCTGTTCGGGGGACCTCAACGGCGCAGGTATCAGGCTCTGTTGAGATAGGACCATCCCAGTCAACTCCATATAAATCCTAAAAAAAGTTTTAAGAGTTCAGTGAATTTTTGTCGTTCTACCGTGTTTATTATATTCTTTCACATTGAAAAAATCATTCTTTTGTAATGTTTGTTCTTTACTTGTCTTGGTTTTTGCATAGAAGAGAAAGCTGTGTTGTGTAATGCATGGCGGTTACAGTCTCCTGTTTTTGTAGTAACGCCAGTACTGTAAAAATTTCAAGACGAAATAATGTTTACCATAGTTACGTACATCTACTTCCCCTGACCGCCAAATATCTTGGGCAATTCGATTGTCACTGTTTGCAATTTCTAGTAGGCCTCTGATCCAGAGTTGGTTTGGACTAAGGTTATTTTCTGTACTCATTGGATGGGCATTCCATCCATTCACAAAGTTGCGAAGGGAATGTGATATTCTTGGTAAATAAACATAGTGTAAGCAAAAAAGGTCTAACTCGCTGTCAGGATTTAACAACCCACTACTTTCAAGGCTGTAGAATAGATGATAATACATATGGACACAACCGCAAAATAGATCTCTCCACAAACGCTCTATTCTTTGGTTGTGCACACTCTTGCCTGTAATCATGCTTCCCCGCCCGGATCCTCGTTCAGGGTGATGCAACATGTAATGGGCAACATCCACATTTCTCCGCCTTTATCCGAACGGACACGAGACGGAAGTCCATGCTGATCAACGGCAGAAAGAAAGGCATTCAGGACTGTAGTCGCGTAGTTGTTTGTATTGCATTCTAAGAAAACAATTTTTCTGCTATAACCGTCGATCCCCCCGTGAATCACCATTCTCCATCTCAAAAGAAACAAACATATCCATGCAAAGTTGGATAAATACAACGAGTAATACCAGAGAAATACACTTACACCAACCTTTTCCCTTCACATACTGCAGGTATTGCAATTCCCTGCTGTGTAAAAGGCCATTTTTACCTGATGAGTTTGTGATATCCATCAATGTGCCAAAGTGATAAAGGAGATGATACATGATACGGCTGCCTTCTGATGACATTCAATTCAACTGCTCTCAAGAGAACACCGTCTGGATCCACTCTTCTTAAAGCTTCTCTGACACGCTGCTGCTGAACACTGATGCCTTTTACTCGCAAAAATCCTGTCAGCCTTCTGTAACCCACATTTGGAAATTCTTTGACAATATCTCGGACAACAGCATCTAAGTCGTCGTTATTAATCGATGAGAAAGTGGTATTTATAGAGATACCAAACTCATGAAGTCTCCTCTCAATAGTTCTTTTTCCGACATTTAACATTGCGGAAATTTGTGGAACGTTAAACCCAGAAGAAACCAAGAACAACAGCTGCTCTTTTGTAATTTTGTATGCTGGTCGTCCAGGCAGTCCAGTTTTCACTGTTGGAGCAAAGTAATTGTCATTTATCCCAGTATCAAATGACTCTATTATGCTAAGGCATTTGCTTAGCAATTCGTTGACCGTTGGTGGTACATCAATAACCGTTGAACAGTAAACCAAAACATGATTTAGATGATCAACTCTAAAAGCTAGGGAAGTCATAGTCTGGTGGTTGTTCTGCATCGTTCTCCAAAACTGCTTCAATTTTTCGTATTGAGTGAATCAAATGATTAATAATGATGCTTCTAGGTTGTACAACATCCTAAGAAAGATAGTATATGTAGAACACCGCTACTTTTTATCTCCTAGTCTTCAAGGCTGTGAAAGGCTATCAGATTTCATTTTCTTCCATTTTTACCCTAGTCTGCATAGTTGCATCGCAAACGGTTTTTAAATATATGTAGGGTTTATAACGTACAGTACGTTCACCAAATAACAGAAGTTAAAGGAGTCACAGGTTAACGAAATGAGTTGGTAATTGTCTCATCGATCATTAAATTTTGCCCTTGTTCCCATGTGATTGACAATGTCCATATAGTATGCCGCTAGGCAAATAAAAAATCTGCCAGTATTCAATTGTATTTAAAAAAAGGAAACATAGGCTAAAATGCAAAAATATATATAAGGCATACCATTTATTACTTAGATGATTTAGAAGACATCCAAGGGTTTTTCGACAGGATTTCGTAATTAACACAACAGAATTTGAAGAAAAAATAGCGTGAAACAGTATAAAAACAATTTTGGAAACTTTATTAACTGAATATTGCAGCTAATATTACGTCCTTAAGAAGTTTTCTGTGATTACCCGCTGTTCAATTAATCCCGTGTGTTCGTAACGCTCTTGTTGAAATAATTCGCTGCCCCTGTTGACTGCGTGCTCCTGTGGCGCATGCCTTTCACGCCGAATGTCATTTAAAAGGCCAATCTGGGCCAATCCCAATGTTAGCTACGCGGTGCCGAATGTCATTAAGGCAAATCCTAATGTCATTAAAGCCAATTCAAATGTAACGTAAGCAGTGCTGAATGTCATAAATGCAAATCCTAATGCCATTAAAGCCAATTCGAATATCACGTAAGTGGTGCCGAATGTCATTCAAGACAATCCGAGTACCACGTGAGCAATGCCGAATGGCATGTAAGTGGTTGCAAATTGTGTAAGCTAATTTTGGCGGTGATCACCCTTCATAAAGTGATACGATAGGTTAACTTTCGTTCTGGGGCGTCAAAACATATTTCGTGAGGGCTGAATTAAAAAAATTAAGGTATGGTAAGATAGGCTAATAGAATCACGGTACGGATATCAAGAATTGTTTTGATCAAACATAAAATTTTACATTAGTAACCGAAAAGAGATACAGTTTTTGCCAAAACAGAATAGTAATATGAAATAAGAGAATAAACAATAATTGAGCATAAACTCTTCCGCCTGTATTCAAAAAGCTCACTCACACTCTTTGAGTGTAACATAGAAATTTTGTTATCACTGAAACACTGAGATTAATGAGAAAGTTCTTTCTTTGTTAATGAAAAGATTTAAGATAAATCAACCTATTGTTTAACTGAAAATACAGCCATAGAAAGTTATCACAAGATTGAGATATCTCACTCAATGAATTTTAGTGTTTGTGAGCTTTTAGAATACAGCCGTTAGAGGTACATACACAAAGTAGGAAGGTAATAGATCCTTGCATTTCGTATCACCAATATTTTTATATTAGAACTACTTTTTTTTTTCTTTCTTAGAGAGTTTTCAACGAGGATGCACAGGGTGAAAAGATATCGTATACTCACACGCTAAGCAAAGGAAGTACAAGTGAAAACATTACGGTAGATACACTGGCCTTTATGTTGAATCACATCACTGGTCAAAATAGGAATCATTAATGTAGAAATTAGTGAAAAAATGGCTGTCACTTCAAGTTTTACCATAAAATACATTGAGGGAAAATAAGTATCGCGAAATCGTCGAAACCACAGACTTTGGGCACTGTTTTTGTGTCCTCTTGATCATTTGTGGCGTTTTGAAGTGGGCAAGGTTCGGGACAACGGCAACCGACCTTTTCTCTATGTATTTTATGGGTAAAAGTTGAAAACAATTATGTAAACCTCCCATCTCACATTGCAAATTCCTGGCGATCACTTTGTTTCTTGAATAGACGGTGACGAGATTTACTAAATCAAGTTAAAACAAAAGTTTGTGTGACTCCCAACTTACACAATGCCTTGCGTAACATCAAGCTCAACGTAATAGCTTGTCGTATATTCTTCAGGATTAGAACTAGCCAAACTCTCCGCACTGCCTGGCGATTTGTTGCACGACGCTGAAGAATTATCAAAAACTCTTACAGAACAAAAGAAGGTGAGGATCCTGTTTAAAGAAACGTTAATGACCAAGTTTTTAGGGCAAGTTTTCCAATTTTTGGGAAAATTAATAATTGTAATTTGTATACTGTAAAAATTCTAAGACGCGATTCAACCGGCCAAGATCATTAATTTTGTAAAGTTATTTATAGTAAAAACACAGTTTTATGATATTCTTATCCTTGTTCTCTAAGCAACCACATAATTGTATTTTCATTATCATAAATTTTAGTCTCAGTCAGATTCTTCAATCGAAGCGAGGAAAGAAAGGGCAATCTTTCGTCTAGGAAACAAACTTACTCAAGCTGCAAAAAATTCGCGTCTTGATGAAAATGGACTACGAGCTTATTTGCAGGGTCTCAGCTCACAATATTACAGGGATATTGAGGACACGGAAGAGTAATTTGAGATGGTCGATGGTGGAATCAATATGATCAACATCTTCTACGCTACATCAACATATGAACTTACCAAACGTTTTAATTTAT